TGATTTATTGATATTGGTTTATTTAGGTTTTTATATCTTCTAGATTCAGATTTGGTAATTCATATGTGTCTAGGAATATGTCCATTTCTTCAACAATTGCTATCTTATTAGAATGCAAGTTTTCAAAGTAGGTATGGAAGATTTTCTAGATTTCTGCAGAATTCATTGTGATTTCATCATTTTTATTCCTAATTACATGGGTTTGTGTCTTTTCTTTCCCTTTATTGATAAGTTTGGAGAAGGGTTTGTTGATTTATTTAATCTTTCAGAGAACCAACTCTTAGATTCATTTTTAACTATATATATATATATATATATATATATATATATATAGTCTCCAATGCTCTGGTCTTTATAATTTTATCTCTCATGTGAGCTTTTGGCTTAGCCTGTTCTTCTTCTTCTAGAAGTTCAAAGTTCACCATTAAGTTGTTCATATGCATTTGCTTTGTTTCCCTAATTTGGGTATTTGCTGTTATAAATATCCCTCCTAGAACTGCTTTCATTGTGTCCTGTAAATTCTGGTATGTTGTATTGTCACTAGCATTCAACTGCAGAAACTCTCTAATTTCTTCTTTAATTTCATCTGTGACCCATTGGTTGTTCAGGAAGGTGCTATTTAATTTCCATGTGTTTATGAAGTTCTTGTGGTTTCTTTTGTCATGAATTTCCAGTTTCATTGCACTATGGTCTGATAATACACATGGGATAATTTCAATTCCTTTGCATTTACTTAAGCATGCTATACAAACTAGTATGTAGTCTGTTTTGGAGAATGTCTCATATGCACCTAAGAACAATGTGCACTGTGAGCACTCTGTAAACAGCTACTAAGACATTTGTTCAAAAGTTTTGGTTCATTCTAATATTTCATTGTTGATTTTTTTTCTAATTGATCTGTCTTTTGGTGATGGTGGGTATTGAATTTCCCCAATGCAATTGTATTGGGGCTTACTTGATTTTTCATGCCCATTAGTATTTGTTTTTTATAGTTGGGTACACTGGTATTTGGTGCATATATATTTATGATTGCTATCTCTTCCTCTTGGGTTGTTTCCTTTATACAGATATTGTCAACTTATCTGTCTTAAACAGTTATGGCTTGAAATTCACTTTGTCTGCAAATGGAATAGCTCTCCCTGCTTTTTTTCTGTGTTCCTGTCACGTGGAGTATTGTTTTCCATCCTTTGACTTTCAATTTATGAATTTATTTTTGAATTAAATGTGTTCCTTGCAGGAGCATGTTGTTGGATTTTACTTCTTGATCCATCCTGTTAATCTGCATCTTTAAATTGGTAAATTGAGACCATTAACATTGATGGTTATAACTGATATGTACTGACTTATCCTAATCGTATTATTTTTCTTTGTAGTCTCTCCCTCTTTTTTTCCCTCTCTCTGATTAATTGTTTGCCTTGCCTGGTGGGTTCCTTCTGTTGGGGTTCGTGAAGTGGTAGTCCTTGTTATTTTTTTCTAGAATGTCTCTCAAAACAGTCTGGAGAGCTGGTTTGGTGGTTATAAACATCTTCAGATGGAAGTATCTTATTTCTCCATTGGTTTTGAAAGATAGTTTTGTGGGGCACATCAATCTGGACTGAAGGTTGTTTTTCTTTAGAACTTGAAAAGCTTTACTCCAAGCTCTCCTTGACGAGAGTTTGTGATGAGAAGTCACCTGTGATACTGATGGACTTTCCTTATAGGTGATTTGAGTCTTTTTCCTAACAGCTTTTTAGATTCTATTCCTGTGTTTAATTTCTGGAAACTTGACTATGCTATGCCTGGCTGTGGATTTCTTTTGATCTTTGCTAATTAGAGTTCTGCATGCCTCACTCTTCTGTATTGTCAAATTCTTTTTCTCTTCTAGGAAAATTTTCTGCCATAATGTCTGTGAACAGTTTTTTAATATCATTTGTGGTATCTCCTGCTTTTTCATTGACTCCAGTTAATTTTATGTTGCTCTTCTTTGCCTCATCTAGAAGCTGCTGGATTGATTTCTTATGGTTCTTTGTTATTTTTGAGAAATCTTCCTTTTGGTGATCATTAACTGCAAGCCTGTCTTCTATATCTGAGATCCTGTACTCACATTGGCTTTATTTGCTCTGAATACTTTCAATGGAATTTTTATTCTCCTGGATACCTGATTGAATCTGCCTTATGAATTCCATTTCTTTCCTATACTGAGAATTCATGGCTTCCATAATTTTCTTAAGCTCATCTATTTTTCATCTTTGTCTGCTCTAGCATCACTAAGCATGGTCTTTATTGCAATACCATCTCTACAGTGATCTGAAACATTACTTCTGATTTGATTTTCTCCAGAGCCTCATGCAATTGTTTTGCTGTTACCACTTCAGAGAGGCCATATGGGAGCCTTTCAGATTGTGCCACCTCATTAAACACTGGGTTTGTGTTTGGTGAACTGGATTATCTGTGTTGCATCTGTTAAGTGTCTTATTTTCTTTTCTTTAAATTTAATTACCATGGTGGTGCTTATAAATCGTGTATGATGGGCTGCTTCATTGCTAGTATTTAGGACCCTTATTTAATGACTATTTCTCTGAGGTCTTTCAGGTGTAGCAGGTTTTGGGTTTTGAGTTTGTTGGATGGTTTTACCTGTTCAATTTGTTGGAGATGAGAAGTTGCTGTTTCTTTGGCCCAGTCCCTGGTTCTTTGGCACTGTGGCACAGTATTTCCTGTGACCCTTAGTCAATCTCAGTCATAGAATAACAAGACAGATAGGTGGTTGGGACATTTTTAGCAATAATGATACCAGTTGCATAGAATCAAAAAGAGTCTAGAAAATGACAAACTGAGATAACCATTAACTTTTCACTTTTAACTGTATGAATTAGATTTGTGGTTATATAACAAAATCTAAAACAAACAATAAAATTATGTGCAGTACACAAGCCCTTAATATGTCAATTTTGTCATCAGGATTTAAAATTTAAAATGTATTGAGGAGGAAATACAGAAGTGGAAGAAGAGGAAGAGATTAGAAGTAAAGTTGGAGGACAAAGAGGTATTATACTAACTTTAGGATACTGGTGCAGAAGACAGGAGGCAAAGAGTGAAGGAAGAGATAAATAAAAAAGAGAACAGAGCCATAGCCACAAGGAGGCTGGAAACCTCATTCACACTCATATAAAAACAAGATCAAACGATGGAGGAGAAAAAAATGAAAACAAACCCACCACCCCAGCAACAAAAAAGAAATGAGAGGGGGGACAAAATTCATTTCCAGGTTGTCTCCACTTTCTCTGGTGGAGGTAAGAGTCCCAATCCATGGCAGTCTATCCAAGTGAGCCAGCAGTAATTTTCTGTCAGTGTGGTGGATAATCTCAGGTAGCCTGAACTTTCTGGCTGAGATCAGGTTCACTTGGCTTGCCACCATCTGAGCAATTTTTATGGGTCTGAACCCCACTAGGAGCCACTAGATGCACCTGCAGCAGTTCTGAGTTCTGACTCAGCTGTCCTATCTCCAGTGTGGCTTCAGGCCAATTGCTATCCACCACAGGAGGCCTGAGCCCAGCCAGTGCAGCCCTTCACATCTGTTCCCCTCCGCTGCTTCGTCTCACCAAGGAGGCCTCCAGGGTTATCATCCTTCACTGTCATCATATGACTGAAAATTCAAACCACTCCTCTCACACAGTGAGAAGGCACAAGCAGCTACCTCCTTCTTCGTTGAAGATTCTCTCTTCACCCTTTCAGTGGGCTTCAATTTGCACTTCAGATTCTTTCTGGTCCAGGGAACCCACTTCCTTTCTTCTTGTCCTCCTTACTTTGCTGTGTTCCAGCCTTGGATGACCACTTTCCAAGAGCCTCTTTCTTTGCTGCTTACTGCTCTGCCACCTTGGTCTCCCCCATATTTTTTTAAACAATGGGGTACTACTCAGCCATAAAGAAGGATAAACTTCAGACATTTATAGTTAAATGGATGGACCTTGAGGCCATATTCTTAAGTGAAATAAATAGAACACACATGTATAAATATTGCATTGTTTCTACGATATGAGAAACTGAAAATGTAAATAAGGACCACAATGTACATTAGATATTATGAAATAGAAAGAAAGTGCTCATTGGGGAATGATAATTAGGGAGAGAGTAGGGAAAAATGAAGGATGAAAAATGAAAAAAAATGAGAAAAGGAAAATCAGACACAAAGCTTTTGTAAATAAAGAGGGGAAGAGGGAATTATAGGAAGATAAGGGAATGAGGAAAAAAGGAATTTCAGTAAGTCACATACAGGTACAAAGTCCCTATGATGAAAGTGATAATTATGTATATTTAAAATGAATCAATAAACAATAAAAAGTGAAAGAGATGAGAGAGTTGAGAACCTTACACTATCACTCCAACTAAAATTGGCCAGAATGAATAACAAGGCTGTGACCTCACAACACAGAAGACAGCAGAGTATGTAGGAGATTTAGAAAGCCTCTCTGCTCTGCCACAGAATACACAAACACCATACAAAGCAACATTTCAAGACATGCGGTGCTGGCCCTAACTTCCCAGTACATGTCTTAGTCTGTTCATGTGGCTCTGACAAAGCACCCGATATTAGACAATTTGAAGAGCAAAAATTTACCTTCTCAGAAATCTGGGGGCTGGGAGTCTGACGACCCCTGTGTCAAGTGAGGGCTTCTTGTTAAACTTCACAGGGCAGAAGATGTAAAACGTAACAAATATTGTGTCCTTTCATGGTAGGTAGGCAAAGGTGAACAAATACACTCTGCAAATCCTCTTTTAAAGGCCCTGGTCCTATCCCCAAGGCTTCCACTATCAAGAAGGAATCACTTCCAATCCACCACATTAGCCATAGAGTTTCAACATATGAATTGGGGAACACATTTGGACCATGGCAGTCAATGAAATGCAGATTTTATGAAATCAGACTGATAGAAAGGAGCTGAACCAAGGTAAAGCACAGGACAAGGTCAAGCAAGGGAGACTGGGGTACTCCCCAAGCCACTTCTCATCCCAGTGCTCATTTTCCTTAATGAAGATGATATTTCCTCCTTCATGGGGTATTATAAAGATTACTTAAAGTATGCAGAGCATTAAGCACTGTATCTTGTTTTGCTAAATTTTCAAGACATCTTCCTTTCTGTCCTCTGTAGACTGCAAGACCCTGTAGATCCTTTGATTTCTACCGTATAATTCATATGCATAAGGATATGAAGGGCTCCTCTCAAAATTATTTCTTGCAACAAAAAAATTTGTTTTATTTTCAAAGGCTTACACCCCCTCTCATATTACAAGAGTCCTTCCATTACTTTCTATGGAACAAAGAACTATTTGTCAAGACACATTCCCTTAAAGTGGACTCAATGTTGATTTTCAAAGTGGTGGAGGTCACTTGGCAGTACTGTTTCTGAAAGCAAAAAAGAAAGTTAAACACACATTTAGTGATTATATTTCTGGGGTGGGAGATTTTCCACACAGAAACACTGCTTACCATTCTAAATGTGAGCTTTAAAGGTGGCTTTTAAAACAAATTTAAATAAAAATGAATGAAATACTGATACAAGCTACTGTATTGTAGGATCCTTGAAAACACAGTGCCCAAGTGAAAGAAGGCAACCATAAAAAAATATAATTTCATTCATATAGATTACATAGTAATACGAAGCAGACCAGACCTTGCATAGAGCTTGCAGTTTGAGGGGAAATTATGGAGGGGCTCTTTCTAGGTACAAATAAGAAGTTTCCTTTGGAGATGAAATCTTTAAATTTGAGTGTTAAGACAGCTCAGCTCTAAAAATGCATCAAAATCATTCACTTGCACATTTTAAATAGATAAATTATATGGTTTCTGAATTATCTCAGTCAAGTTACTATAAAACACAATTAGTAAATAGTTGCCATTTGAATATTGCACACAAAGGCAAACTATCAAAATGAATACTGGTGGTTCAGAATAAAGTTAACAGTGACAACACCATGAATCCAAAAGGGTTTGAATCCTAAACAATTTAGGTATGAGTAGAGTTGAATGGAGCTGATTTTCTCTACATATTTTTTTCTTATTTTATTTTAATATATGTGAGATTTTATTGGTTGTAGATCAGCACACACATCTCACTTTGCACACAATTCTACACACACACACGTACTAAAAATCTAGAAAGTTATGTATTGCTTTTTTTTTTTTTAGTTATTCCAGTGAGTTTCTAACTTTAAATTTGGAAACAAATTTTCTATAAGAGAATTAAGTATAGTATCTTGAAATGTTGGTGAAGTTTTACATAAGTTCCACTGATTCACAATTTTGTACGACGCACACTAGATATTCTAATTTTCTATCTTTCACCCCATAGATATGTGTTTCTGATGGCTTGCAAATTAAATGTAGCAGTGCGCAAAAATGAGCATCAAAGGACCACGTGGAGAGTTGGATATTGTTGTTTCATAGCATGTGATAATAGAAACAGTATTTTAAAAATTAGTATCATGTTTGTATAACCATATTTATATTATAAATAATACAACATATGTGATGTAAATTAGTTAATAATGTAAAAGTTGAAAGGTAACATTGTACCACTCTTAAAATTTTACAGAGCAAGAGTGAGAACTGCCTGTATAGCTGAATCTGCTGGTTGCTCTGGCCACACGGTTCTCCCTATCAAAACTGGGGCCAACGCAGATTCATACCTCATTTTGAAGGATCCTTAAAGGATTCCTGCAGTATGGGTGGGGGGAGCTCAGGGCATTTCCACTGAGCTGTACCCCATGCCCCTTTTCACTTTTTAGTTTGAAACAGGGTCACACCAAGTTGCTCAAACCAGGCTTGAACTTGGGATGCTCCAGCCTTTGCCTCCCTGGGTGCTGAAATTTCAGAGATACACCATCATTTCCAGTCCAGCAGAAGGATCATCTCTTTTTTTATTTAAAGAGAGAAGAAAAAAAGGACATAAAAAAACAATGCAGTAAAAGGGTGCAAATAATATAGTATTTCTAGAAAAAAAAATACAGTATGAAATCACCAGTTAGTAGGTTACATATTATCTTCCCAGAAACAGTTGTCCATATCACTAAATTAAAGCATATAAAGTGAACATTCACACAGTGAAATTGGAGACAGTTCTGTTCAATGATCCAATAAAAGCTGTTATATGGTTTTCCATCCTACACACTCGAACATACCTGCGGTTATATCCCTTAGTCCACCTTACTTTCCTCTCTTTTTTACAGTAACAATTAGACTTTTAGGGTTTTATTATTCTCACGGTTCTTATTATTTTTTGAAGAGAATAAAAACAAATGTGACTAAGCAAAACAGAGTCAGAACAGAAGGGTGGGCATAGCACATGATGCAAAAATAGAATACCAGGTGATCAAAAGTGGTTACCATTGTGCCTCTTGCTATTTTTAAACTGAGTTGTCTATATCATCAGGTATAATAGAATTGATCAAAACAGTACAGAATAAAACCAATAAAACCTATACTGAGGACCTTACAGGACTTCAAAAAAAAAAAAGGATAATAGTCAATCCATATTGGGCATCATAGTATATCTTATTGCCTTCAAAGTGATTGCCTATACCCTTAAACTTGATACTATCAACAAAATAGAATATATAATAATCAGACAGAACAAGATGGGGAGAGCAATACTGGGGTTCAAGTCAGGTTAATAGGATAACAAAAAATAATATGTCCCGTTATTTTTTAATTTAGTTTTCCCTTAATTAAAAAAATGAGAGAAAATAGATTGATTTAAAAATAGGGGGGAGATTGAGATAAGAGAGGACATTGTAATAGAACAACGCAGGACAGAACCGAGCAATTTAAGCATCACTGTGTTTCATCACCAGATAATCTAACATAATAGTAGTCGCCATAGTGCCTCTTTCCTTAAATTATTTGAGTGTAACTTCGCATGCTATAATATCAAGCATATCTAGACAGTGTGAAGCCTTTCAAGAGAATGCAAGAATCACAGGGTATTTAGAACCTGTTAATAGAAAACAAACAATGGTTTTTATATTATCTCTTTGCCTATAAAGAATTTTGTTTATACTACAGCATATAGTGAAATATAGTAAGATAAAACATGTTAAAACCAGTGGAAACAGATGTACAACAGCTTGATGGGACTTCAAAACAAGATGATATTAAATCAGCACTAGCTTTTATGTTGTGTTGCTTTCTTCAAAATAGCTATTCGTACTATCATAGATACTAGAATTGAACAACTCAGGTTAAAACCATTGCGGTTAATGAGTGAAAACATTATATGGCTTCAAACCAATATGATTGTGAATCATGATTACCACATACTTCTATGTATTCTTATCATTTCTTACATTAGGGAAACTATTCGGTATTTATACATGTGAGTTTGATTTATTTCACTTATGAGTATGGTCTCAAGCTGCATCCATTTATTTATAAATGTCTCAATGCGGTCATTCTTTATAGCTGAGTAGTACTCCATTGTTTAAAAATACCACAATGTTTTTATCCATTCTTCAGTCGATGGACATTTAGGCTGTTTCCAAGATCTGGCAATTACAAATTGTGCTGCTATAAACATGGGTGCACATATATCTTTGTGGTATGATGCTTTCAGTTCTTCTGGGAATATGCCTAGAAGTGGCATAGCTGGGTCAAATGGGGCTTCCAGTCCTAATTTTCTGAGAAATCTCCAGACTGACCTCCACAATGGTTACACTAGTCTACACTCCCACCAACAATGTAGGAGAGTTCCTTTTTCCCAACAGCCTCTCCAGCATTTGTTGTTGGTTTTCTTGATCTTGGCCATTCTTTCTGGAGTGAGATGAAATCTCAGTGTGATTTTGATTTGCATTTCTCTAATGACTAATGATGATGAACATTTTTTCATATATTTATTTGCCATTTGTTTCTTCATGTAAGAATTGTTTATTCATCTCAGATGCCCATTTTTGGATTGGATCTTTGAATTTTGGGTGTCTGATTTTTAAAAAATCTTTATATGTTTTAGACAGAAGTCCTTTGTCTGACGGGCAGTTCACTAAGACTTTTCCCCAGTTTGTGGGTTTTCTTTTCAACACACTGGAGACTTCTTTTGACGTGCAGAAACTTTTAATAAGAGGTGATCCCAGTTATTGATTCTGGGAAGTATTTCTCGTGTGGTTTGAGTCCTGTAAATGAATTCTCTACCTACTCTCATATCTTCAAGGTTTTTACCCAGTTTGTCTTCCAATAGGTTTAGTGTTTCTGTTTTAATATTTAGATCTTTGATCCATTAGATTTTATTTTAGTACATGGTGATAAGCATGGATCTAGCTTTAGTTTTTGACATATGGAGAGCCAGTTTTTCCAGCACCATTTATTAAAGAGACTGTCATACTCCCCGTGAACCTGTTTGGCCCCTTTATCTAAGATAAGGTGGTGGACTGTGTTTGCAGTTGTGGTTGTATCTTCTAATCTATTCCAATGACCTTCAGCTCTGTTTTAGGTCCAGTACCATGTTGATTTTACTACAGTTACTTTGTAATATAATTTCAAGTCAGGGATTGTGATAACTCCTGCCTTGCCTTTGCTGCTTAGAACTGACTTTACTATTCTAGGTCTCTTCTCACTCCAGATGAATTTTAGGAGTGATTTCTCGAGTTCTGTGAGGTATGTTGATGGTATTTTTATCGGAATTGCATTGAACCTGTATAAAAGTTTTGAGAGAATGGCCATTTTCACAATATTTATTCTTCCTATCCATGAGCAAGGGATGTTTTTCCATTTTCTGTTCAGTGTAATATAATTTTCCCTGTAAGGTATTTCACTTCTTTCATGAGAGTAATTCCTAGATATTTCATTTTTTGGTTGTTAGTGTGAAGGGTGTGGCTCTCTTATTTCTCTTTCTGTGACTCTGTTGTTAGTGTATAGGAATGCTGTTGATTTTTGAGTATTGATTTTATAGCCAGCTACATTACTAAATTTATTTATTATATCTGTCAGTCTTTCAATGGAGTTTTGTGGATCTTATATATAGTGTATCATGTCATCTGCAAATAATGATAGCTTAACTTCTTCTTTTCCTATCTTTATGCCTTTTCTTTCTCTCTCTTATCTAATTGCTCTGGCTAGTATTTCCAGCACTATATTAAATAGGAGTGGTGATAAGGGGCATCCTTGTCTTTTGCCTGATTTTAAAGTAAAAGGCTTCAATTTTTGGCCATTTAGTATGATATTGGCTGTTGGTTTGTCATAAATGGCCTTTATTATATTGAGGTAAAGACCATCTATTCCAATTTTCTGCAAGCTTCTTATCATGAATGAATGTTGGACCTTATCAAAAGCTTTTTCTGCATCTATAGAAATGATTATGTGGTTCTTACTTTTGGCTCTATTAATATGGTGTATTACATTTATTGATTTACGTATAT